TTTTTTTTGTAAAAAGCTCTAAAATAGTAAAAAAAAAAATCTACTATAAAGAAAAATGTGGAAAAAACCTTTTTTCGGGAAAGAAATTTTTTTTGTGATAAATAAAATATTTAATTATTAAAAATTTGAAAAAAAATGATTCTAAAATTTATGATACAGATTTTGCTGAGGAGATTTCCTCTTTGCATTGACATACAGGAGCGAAATCTAAAATCGATAAAAAAGATCATAAATAGTTAGTTACACGGAAGAAAAGTGATTGAAGCGGCAGTAAGAAGCTTAGGGTTTTACGATCGATCGATATTTAATTGACTCTTAACGCGAGTGAGTTGCGACCGGGAATTTCGATTATATATATATATATGACAACGGATACGATAATCCTTTGTTAAACGGAAGTTTTGTTGTCAATGACCTTCTTTAAAATGTGCCATATATATTATTTGATAATCGAGGCCGATGAAATCCTTTTCTCTAAATTATTAAATAAAAAAAAAAACTTGGCAAGCAATTGAGTGGTGCGAAGAAAAAAATTTTTTACAAGAAAAAAAAATTATTTAATTATTTTTTATTTTTTTTTTTTTTTTGTACTGAAGTAAAAAGTAGTCTCAAACTATTGCGAACAAACCTTAAAACCCAATTCCTTGCTGCTGTAGTTGTAAAGGTGCGACGTGTGTAGAAGAAATTTGTGATCTATCTATTGTTGAAGCGTAAAGGACATATTTTATAAGGGGAGACAAATATTTATTTCTACAAGGATGGAATTTATTGTTCACAGTTTTTTTATTAGAAAAAAAAAATATTGTTCAGAAAAATAAATTTTCGATTGGAAATAATTTTTTATTTCTATTTATTTGTAATTTTTTTTTTTTTTATTATTTTATTTTTATTCTGTAAATTTTTTTTTTTTATTTTTACTTATTAACTATGCGTAACAATAAGTAACTATAATATCTTCTTTTTTAATTTAATAAAAAATGACTATAAACGTGTAAATTAATTAAAAATTTTCCTCTATAGGAGTAAAAAGTATGACGTTGAATCTTAATTACACGAAAAAAAAATAAAAATAAAGCACTCGATTAAAATGCCATTCGAATGCTTCTTTATTAGAGCTGTAAAATGTTAATTTTTTTTATTTTCAATTATAAATTAGGTTAATCCGATTTGAGTTAACCAAATCTGAAAAAGAGTTCAAATATATAGTTGAAAATTATTTCGTCAGATCAAACGAAAATACTTGTCTCTCTTAGTATTTTCCATTTTACAAATTAACAAAAAAAATTTAGTTAAAATAACGATTTTGTATTTAATTTAATTAGAAATATTAAATAAATAAATAGAAATAAAAACAGAAATAGAAAATTAGAAATAAAAAAAAAAACTAGAAAAAAAATAATAGTAGAATAAAAATCGAAAAATGGTACTTTCTGTCAAATCTGACATTTTCTCGGTTATATATAATTACTTTTATCATATCGCAGCATCATCGATAATATGCAACGATAATCCCGTCACTCGATTGGTAGATGTTAATTTTCTGATAGAGAACAAAAAACAAATAACTTTTTTTTTTCTACATTATATTCAGAAAATCATTTCCTGTCTCCCCTTAAAAGTATTGCAGAGAAAATAATTTATGACTCACAAAATTGTCATTTTAAAAAGCGTGAAAAAGTGTTTTTTCGCAGCTAAAATTCATAATAATAATTAAATATTTAATAAAAACCACTGAGAAACAAAAAATAATAAAAGCATTTTGTCAGCGTGAAAGCGTGAAACATTGATTTAAAAAAAAACACCACTTCTCTGTCCAATAAGATCTCGTCTATTTTAGTTTTTTTTTCTTCTAAAAACTAATAAAAAAAATGAAAATATAAAAGAAGAAGGAATTTTGTGAAATAGAATTGAAAATTTTTTTTCAGCTATATGAAATTTAGTGCTGAGGTTTCATGGGAAAAAAGGAATTGAAAAAAAAATTTGATTCAAATAGTTGTTTACTTGACTATTATCAAATAAATATTTATTTGTATTAAATAATAATTATTTAATTAAATGGTAATTATTTTAAAAAAATTGTATTTCTTTCAAATACAGAAATTATTGATTTAAATACAATTTATTTAATTCAAATAAAAATTATTTGGTTTAAATAAATATTTATTCGATTTAAGGAAAAATTTATTTAATAATAGTCAAGTAATCGATTATTTATATGAAATAATTTTTTTTTGCATATTTACTATCGGATTTTTAATATAAAACAACCAAATTCAATTAAATTGTAAAATTAAAATTGTTTTGTTGTCTCAACAATTTAATTTGTTGTCACAGCAAATATCTGAAGTGATTTTGTTATTACAACAATTCCAAATTGTAGATAAAAAAAAATTTGCTTTAACAATAAATGAAAATTTGTTTGTTCTATATTACAAATTTCTTTTTCTTTGTATTTATAAAGGAAATGGAAGATAAAGAAAACCGGAAATATAGTAAAAAAAAAATGAAAAGACATAAAATGATGTATACACTTTTTCCTCTAAAACCATCCATGGAATTCTGAGTTCCACGCAGAAAGCTGGAATCTTCCTATGAGATCAAGTATATGCATGCGTTCCTATCTTGAAATTTTGTGCTGGCTCAAACTCTTCTTATATATATATTCAAAAATAAGACAAAAAAAAAATAATTAAAAAATTTGAGATGCAAAATTTTGAATTTTTATCCGAAAAAAAGGGAGAAAATTTTTTAATTTTTATTTATTCAAATTAAGCACGTGAACAAAAAAAAGGGAATTTTAAAAAATTTTTTTTTTAGTTATTCAGATTGAGCACGAGGACAAAAAAAAGGAAAATTTTTTAAATTTTTATTCATCCAGATTGAGCACAAAAAAAAGGGGGGAGGGGGTGAAAGTGGTGAAGAACTTGAACCAGCTCGCAGAGAAGAAGTGCACAAGTAGAGGCTTAAAAGAGAAAGATATATATATACTAATTCGCAGAAAAGCCAGGCGAAAAGGAATATCAAAGTGAATTATTCGTTAATCGCAAAAAAAAGAAGACAACAGCGATACGTATAACCGTATACGTATTTCTTCGTTGTTTCACTTTTTTCTCCCATCTTTTTTTTTTTTTTTGTATCTCTTGTATTCATTGCCTTCAAATCCCACCCCACAGTTAATTTCAATTCTGTCGGAATATTTTTCCCTTCGTCAATCATTATTTTCGATTGAAGGAAAAAAGTATTCTGATACTTAAACGATGAGAAGTGAATAGAATAAAAATGCCAGTTCAAAAAATTAATTAATTTTTTTTTTGATATAATATAAAATTACTTTAATAATTTATATATTATTAAATAATAATAAATTAATATTATTAATTAATTAATTATTAAATAGTTGATGAGGATAGAATTTTTTGAAAAACTAATTTACATTTTACAAAAATTTGTTTTTTAGTACTAAACGTCAGTTTGTCAAACTAGCAGAGTTTTTAAAATCTGGTGTAAGTAGTAGAAGAAAATTTTTAGTCGGACAATTTTTCTATTCTTCGTTTCAGTAGTAAAATATAAGTTTTAGTCAGGAAAAAATTAGTAGTAAAATTTTATTTGGTCAGACAAAAAATTAAAAAAAAACAGTTTTTCAGTAGTAAACGTCAATTTCAGTCGGACTAATAAATGTTTGGATTTTGTGAAGTTTTTAGCAGAAGTAAAATCTATTTTTAGTCAGAACAAAATTAGTAGTTAAATTTTTGTTTAGTCAGACAAAAAGTAAAAAAGAAAACAGTTTTTCAGTAGTAAAAATCAATTTTAGTCAGATTAGAATTTTTTTGAAATTTACTATCAGTAGTAGAAGAAAGTTTTATTCAGCCAATTTTCTACTTTTGTTTTTAGTAGTAATGTATATTTTTCAGTCAGAAAAAAGTAGTAAAATTTTATTTGGTCAGACAAAAAATTAAAAAAAAACAGTTTTTCAGTAGTAAACGTCAATTTCAGTCGGACTATTAAATATTTGGATTTTATGAATTTTTTAGCAGAAGTAAAATCTATTTTTAGTCAGAAAAAAATTAGTAGTTAAATTTTTGGTTAGTCAGACAAAAAGTAAAAAACAAAACAGTTTTTCAGTAGTAAAAATCAATTTTAGTCAGACTAGAATTTTTTTGAAATTTACTATCAGTAGTAGAAGAATGTTTTAGTTAGCCAATTTTCTACTTTTTGTTTCAGTAGTAAAATATATTAATCAGTCCAAAAAAAAGTAGTAAAATTTTGTTTAGTCAGACAAAAAGTAAAAAAGAAAACAATTTTTCAGTAAAAAAGTAAAAAATTAATAAATAGTAGTAAGCCAATTTTTAATTTAAATTACATTCAACTTAAATTATTATTGATTCTATCAGTAGAAAAATTTTCTTTTAGTCAGATGGAACATTTTTGTTTTCAGTAGTAAAATTCTATTTCTGTAAGACAAATTTTAATTCTTCTAATATTAATTTCAATAGTACAAAATCAATTTACCATCACAACAAATTCTTTCTATAAAAAATTAATTAAAAAATTTAATTGCTTCAGTAAATTATAAAATATGTCAATCATCCAAAATTGCTTTTTTCAACAATCACTATTGATATTTTGTTTCTACATGAAATGTTTCTTTTTTTTTGCAATTACGTGAATTTTCTTGATTACTTGCATATTTTTTGTGCAGAACAAATTGAAAATAATAAAAAAAAAAACCGATCGTAACTGTCAAATAAAAGTAATTTAATACTAGCGAAAAAAATTCTGGCATTTTTATAATAAACGCATTCACAAAGTTCATTTTTCTAATGAAAAAAAAGAAATATTTTATAAATTTTCTTTTTGCCACGAAAAAAAAAAAGAATCTCTTGTTCTTTACCTTTGTCCTGACTTGTATACGATCGCCGTATACGAGCACCACCCTATCCTTGTTCTCATTCGACGTGAGCTGATACGATAAGCTCTGCAATGAAGATCATCGAAGACGATTTATGTTTTTTTTTTTTTCATTCATTTATTTACAGATATTTTCCACACAAAATAAATAACGCCACATTTAGTGTCGTATTTTATCAATATTTTCGTTTGCGGGCATTTTTCAAATATATTTTTTACGCATTATTTTTCAGCGATATTTTTTTTTGTTTTTTGTTTTTTTTTTTTTGAAAAAATAGAAGCCATTGAGTGTGGATTTTGATGTGGGTCATTTAAAATTGAACCGGATCCAGAGTCCAACGAAGCCATTAAATGGAAGGTGGCAGTTGTTGACAATGACAATAACGATGGTCACAGATGTGTCATATATTCCCATTGTAAAGATGTCGATCATCAGCGATGGGCACGGAAATAGGCAAATAGAAGAATTTCATTGATAGTGTGTGACTTCAGGTAGTATTTGTTATTTTTTTTTTTAATCTTTCTCTTAGAAGCTATAGTGCATTTCGAGACGTGTGTGTATTTTTTGACTCCCGACTTTTTTTTTTCCTGTTTGGCCTCGCATCGGTCTTTTTCTATTTCATTTTTTTATTAATCCGTTTCTACGAGGCTCTCTCTGTGTGTGTTTATTATTATTATTTTTTCTAAGAGTGTTTTTTTTTTTTTTATTGGTAAATTCTCGTTTTTTTGAGAATTTCTAGAATTTTTTTTTATTTTTTATTTAAGATTTACTTTTTTTTGTGACTCAGTTCGAATTTTGTTCGATATTGTATCTCAAAATGAGGCCTCGACGAGATAAGTGCCGTCCACCCCTGTCTGACCCCCCTGACCCTCAGTGACTTGGGCCCTTGTCGCCGGGATGTACTGACTGTACGCCTGCTGAAATCCACATCACAAGCACACACTACATTGTTGCACGCTAGGCTCGCCTATACTCTAACTCACCTAATCCTACTTCAATTTCATTAATTAACAATTTCACCCAAAATCAACTAGACCCTTGTGCTTTGTCGTAAGGGTGTTACTGCTTTCGATACATGACATTTACACTAATTGTATTCTCTTTCGTTAACACATAGTGTCATCGAAGGATACGCATTAGATTATCAGGAGAAAATAAAAAACCTCTCAGAAAATATTTCCCTCAGATATATAAATAAATAAATAAATAAATGATATATTCACTTTGTAACAAAATACAAAATTTTATTTACACTAAATAAAATTTCAATTTTAAAGAAAATTTTCATAGTTACGCTGAAAAAAAAAAATTTATTTGATTCAAGTTATCAAATATTACTATTATTATTATTATTATTATCAAATAAATATTTACTTGAACAAAATAATTTTTATTTGTTGCAATTAAATTTTATTTATTTCAAATACAGAAATCATTGGGCCGGTATCATATTGACACAAATTTTTTTAAGAAAATTATTATTTTGTATAACCGGTGATAATGTTATTTTGTACACACAGAAAATTAAAAGGCATTAAAATAAGCTGCAACGCTTCTTATTTTAATCCAATTTTGCTTATTTTAATCCATTTTGGTATTAAAATAAGTAAAATTGGATTAAAATAAGAAGCGTTGCAGCTTATTTTAATGCCTTTTAATTTTCTGTGCAACTATTAAAATCCAAAATGTTATTTTGTACAACTGAAAAATAAAAGTTAATTTATTCTTAAAAATAAAAATATAACAATAGTACAAAATAACATTTTGGATTTTAATATTTGTACAAAATAACATTATCACCGGTTATACAATATAACAATTTTTAGAAAAAAATTTGTGTCAATTTGATACCGACCCAAATCATTAGTTCAAATAAAAATTATTTAGTTAAAGTAAATATATTTATTTAATAATAGATTATTTGAATCAAATAAATTTTTTTTCAGTGTTGCCAACAATAGCACGCAAAACAGAAAAAATCATGGAAAATCATTGAATTTGAAAAAAATAACACATAACACTGAAACAGAAAAATATTTCATTGGCGTTTATTTGAGACAAATATAATATTTATTTAAAGCAAATAAAAATATAATTTTAACACAAAAAATTATATGGTATTAAAATAAGCTGCAACGCTTATTATTTTAATCCAATTTTGCTTATTTTAATACCAAAATAGATTAAAATAATAAACGTTGCAGCTTATTTTAATGCCTTTTAATTTTCTGTGAATTTTTATAAATAAATACATTTATTTATTATTCTCAGAACCTAATAACTTGTTTTAAATAAAAAAAAATTTATTTAGCACAAATCAAATTTTATTTTATTGCAAATCAAATTTTTATTTAACTCAAAAAAAATGTATTTTGAAACAAATAAATAATTATTTGTCTTTGAGAAAAATAGAATTTTTTTTTCTGAGAGTGTGTGTAAAGTAGTAAAATCTATTTTTAGTCAGAAAAAAATTAGTAGTTAAATTTTTGTTTAGTCAGACAAAAAGTAAAAAAGAAAATAGTTTTTCAGTAGTAAAAATCAATTTTAGTCAGACTAGAATTTTTTTGAAATTTACTATCAGTAGTAGAAGAAAGTTTTATTCAGAAAATTTAGTTTTCAGTAGTAATGTCAGAAAAAAAGTAGTAAAATTTTGTTTAGTCAGACAAAAAGTAAAAAAGAAAACAGTTTTTCAGTAGTAAACGTCAGTTTCAGTCAGACTAATAAATATTTGGATTTTGTGAATTTTTTAGCAATAGTAAAATCTATTTTTAGTCAGAAAAAAATTAGTATCTATTTCAGTAGTAAAATATATTAATCAGTCAAAAAAAAAATAGTAGTAAAATTTTGTTTAGTCAGACAAAAAATTTAAAAAACAGTTTTTCAGTAGCACACGCAGTTTCAGTCAGACTAATAAATATTTGGATTTTGTGAATTTTTTAGCAGAAGTCTCTGAGAAAAATATAATTCTTTTTTTCTGAGAGTGTGTGTAAACTAAACAACAAATTAAAAAAACTGGGGAGAAAAAAATTGAAAAATTCTAAAAAACAGAAAAACAGTTTCTATAAAATTTTCAATGTTCAAAATAACAAAAATTTTTCAATGTAGGATAGGTACAAAAACAATTTTAAAAAAATTATAAAATAAGTAAATTACAAAAAGGAAACAGTTTTTCATTAGTAAATGTCAATTTCAGTCAGACTAGAAACTTTTTGGAATTTAGTATCAGTAGTAGAAGAAAGTTATTATTTTTTTATCTTACAATTTTAGCAAAAAAAAAAAAAAACAAGTTTTTATGGACTTTTTAACAGAACACCCTTACGCTTATCCTAAAAAAAAAGTTACTCTTCCTCGGATTTCTAAAACTCTACAAAAAACTTTCTTCGTCAAATCGAAAGTTTTATTTGAAAAAAAAGTTTCTCTTTTCGACAGTAGCGGATTATTCATTATTTTCTAGCATTCCCCAGTTGTTGTCTGTTTTTTTTTTTATCTCTTTTTCTAAAAATACATTATGTACAAATATAAATATAGATATATACTCTACATGAATGTGATTTCTATGCGTGAATGACAAATGTGTGAAAAATGAAAATCCAAAAATGACATCCGCCACTATCAGTTGAATTCAATTTACTAAAAAAAAAAAAAAAAAAAAGAAAAGAAAACTCAATATTTAGTATTGAGACTAAAACATCAATCAATATATATTATTATATAATGCAGAGGGAAAAGGACTTTTCTACTTTATTCAAATAAAATCTGTTTTTTTTTCGTAGAATTTCTCGACCCATTTATAATGCTTGCACACCAGGGTGTAACAAAATGAAACTTTTTTTTTCCATCTCACCATTCTCTTTTATTTGTGATAAAAAAATTGTGTATTTCAATTTTTTTAATTCTTTAACCCATAGTTCAGATATTTTTTAAAATTAATTTTCAGTAAGTTTCAATTTCATTAAATTTTTTTTTTTTCAAAATTTATTTTTGGAAGATTTAAAAATGGTCAAAAACCAAAAGATTACGCCCAAAGAAATGATATATATATATTTGTCTCACAGCCTAATAAATATTTATTTGATTTAAATAAATTTTTATTTGATTCAAATAAATTTCTATCTGATTCAAATAAACTTCTATCTGATTCAAATAAACTTCTATCTGATTCAAATAAATTTTTATTTGAATTAAATAAAAAATTTTATTTATGCCAAATAAATAGACTAGTGAGACAAATATACGTTTATTTAACTCAAATATATTATATTTGGTTCAAGTAAAACATTTTTCTGGATGTAGGAAATTTTTAACACCCTACTGCACAGAACATTATATAAGAATTAAAACTATACTGTATGTAAATAAATTGAAAAAAATAAGCCCTTTCTATATATTTAGATATATATTATAAATATTAAATACCAAATTCTTGTCATGAAAATGCACCGTATAGAAAATGAATTTTCTTCTCTCTGCTAAAAAAGAGAGGGAGCAAAAAAAAAAGGGGGAAAAAAAAGCTGAATGAGATCAAGTGGTTTTGGCATTTTAGGCCACCGGATAATTTAGCAGGTGGTGGAAAAATCTGTTCTAATGGAAGTTATTTCAACTACTACTCTTTTTGGGTGAATCTATCTTTTTTAGTGTGTGGTCTCCCAATTCATCTAACTCACCCTGAATTTTCGGACCCCCCCTTGTCTCTCTCCCTTGACCCATCTAATCTCACATCGTCACCGTTAATACTATCCTAGGCTTTTCTCATCACCCTTCTTCCTTCTTTATCAAGCTTATTATCATCACTTACGTGACTAGCGATTTTCAACACTTGTTCCTTGGAATTTATAATATTAAAAAAGAAAGTTTCGATTGTCACACGTTTTTTTTTATTTGGTTTCATTTTTTGAATTGTACACCTAGAGAAATTTATTTGAACCAAATATAATATATTTGAGTCAAATAAACGTATATTTGTCTCAGCCCATTTACTTGGCGTAAATAAAATTTTTTTATTCAAATATCAAATAAAAATTTATTTGAATTAAATAAATATTTATTTGGCTCCGAGACAAATATATCTATTCTCTGGGTATACACTCAGAGAAATGGTATATTTTTCTCCGAGCCTACTAACTCATTTATTTGTTGCAAATATATTTTATTTCATTTAAATAAAAAATTTATTTGAGCCAAAGAAAAATTTATTTATGACAAATAAAATTTTTATTTACGCCAAATAAATAAGTTAGTAGGCTCTGAGACAAATATTTGTTTATTTAATTCAAATATATTTTATTTGATTCAAATAAATCATTTCTCTGGGTGTATATATATAGAGAAAAAAAAGTTAGCTACCTCAGCCAAATATTTAGCTACCTTAATTACTATTTTATTAGTAAAAATTATTGTTAGCTAATACAGCTAATAATAATTAATTTTCATAGTTAGTATGTTTCGCTGTGCCAACTAATTATATTAGCTATCATAGCTAAAAATTAGCTATTCAGATAAATTCATTTTTCTCCGTGTAATTGAAGTTTATTTTTAAAAAAATTTTTTTTAACCAAGAGAAATGATATATTTGTCTCACAGCCTAATAAATATTTATTTGATTAAAATAAAATTTTGTTTAATTTAAATAAATTTTTATTTGATTTAAATAAATTTTTATTTGATATAGATAAATTTTCATTTGATTTAAATAAAAAATTTAGTTACACCAAATAAATAGGCTAGTAGGCTAAACGTTTATTTAACTCAAATTTATATTATATTTGATTCAAATAAAACATTTCTCTGGGTGTAATTTTTTTTAAAATAAGTTTTCTTGTATTTTCTATATAGTGTTTTGACACAATGTTTCTTATATTAAAATTGAGAGCTGACTTAAAGTGAGACGAGTGTCAAAATAAAAAAAAAATGTATGTGT